TCATATTGTCATGTATACTCTCAATGTGTTCTTGGAACATGCATGAATTACTATAATACAGATTTTTCAGTTTCTTTCTCAGGTCATCTCTAATTTTACTCAAATATTTACTTAAATTTGATTCAATATTTAAGTAAAAAAATTAGATTGATACAAAGTAATTTACGGGACAAACTCGAAAACTCAAATTTACGGAAGAATAAACTCAAATCTAAAAGATGATAAATCTAAATTTAAAAAGATTAAAATATATATAAATATTAAATCTTTAAAAAAAAGGTAAAATCTAACTATTGAAGATTTAAGTCTTAATTGATTTAAGTAAAAATTTGATTTTTAATTTATTTGGTATTAGTTTGAGGAAAACAGTGGAACTTGATTGTAGTTCATTTTTGCTCAAATGTAAATATAAATTAAGATTTAAATAAAGATTAGAAGAAGTCTTACGTTTGTTAAAAATAATAAAAATACCTATAAAAATAATAAATTGTGATAATTTATTTTGTTTTTCTTGGGTGCCGAATAATTGTCCCTCGGGAAAAAATGATTATGTCGGGTAATGGAATCATTTCCCATGAGTATGCTATCATTATCCTTCCTCCCACTGCAAAAATTAGATCACATGATCAATGAAGAAATACCCTAGAAACTGGGGAGAAGAAAACGGGTCACCTGGTTTAGAGACACCTAAGTTTGTCATACTTACAATGCTGACTTTGAAAGAATAATGTTCACTTGATGACCTGCAAAAATGTAAAATCTACATATGCCATGAAATATGTTTGACTCCTCATACGCCATCCACGGAGGCCATCGTCGATGTGCCGATGCGCTCTGCAAATGGCATACAGGGAGCCAGACATATGCATATGTATGGAACATGTATATATATATAGTTATACACGTGTGTGTGTGTGAGAGAGAGACAGAGGCTCACTTATTCAATACAGAATAGAAGTGCAAGTGTATAAGTAGAATTGAAGCTTACCCTAAATTCCTTAACCCACGATCATTATGAGGAAGATGAAGATGGAACAGTAAAAATTTCACTTTTGTACAAACTATCTCCACACTAAGGTATATTGAAGGCACTAGATGTTATGGAGAGAGATGAGAGAGAAAGTAGGGTGATATAAATCTTGTGGAAGGAAGAGGGGAGGAGATTTGGAGGATCAAACTGGGTTCTAATCAAGGGTCTGCTAATTTTGTTGTTGTTTATATATGGTTCTGTGAGAGAGAGCTGGAATATGTAGAGGGTTTGAGTGCACCCTAGTCTGCCACTAAATATACACAGAGAAGGGGGGGGGGGGGGGGGGCTCGGGAATGGGTTGGGTTACAAAGTACGCAATTCCCTAGGCTCTCTTGTGGTGTTTGATAACTCCTTTTCAGGGGGAGTGAGGTTGCTAATCTCCTTTGTCTGGGAGTGTTTGGAGGACTTGGATTCCTCACCTCTCTATGCTACTTTCTTCGATGAACAAAGTGAAAAACAACAAGAAATAACACAACCATAATAATGTATATTGTTTCCCTTTTTCTCCATTATTTCTTCATGCTATATATATTCTTCTTCATCTGTATTTTAAGTTATAAACGCTACTACATTTTTTTATATTACTGAAGAATTAATACTTTGATTGGTCTTGTAACTCTTCGTTTAGACATTCATTTTAGCAATGTATTATAATAACGATACATTGCCTAGGTTCTATCCATCAGATCACTACAAGAATTAGAGTTTTATACGATAGTAATGTGCTTGTTACAACAAAAAAAAGCAGTGTTTTGGATAAAAAAATAATTTTTGTGGTGATAATACTGTCATAAAAAATTTATTTGATAACGCAAATACTATTTGAGATGACTATTATTGCCACAAAGATTTTGCAAGACTCCACTTATTATGACGAGACATGCCGTCACAACACTTAATGTAATAAGTAGAGTCTCAAAAAGTATTTATGACGGCAACAATCTGTCTCAAATAATATTTATGACAGAAAATAAATATTTTATGATAGTACTACCGCCACCAAATTTTTTTTATTTTCTTCAAAATATGTTTTTTTGTGACGGTGAATGCTACTGCTACAAAAATCTTATCTCAAAAGACCCTAATTCTTGTAGTGGTTTTTTTTTTTCCTCATGTGAGTTTTATTAGTTCAAAGGGACAAGATTACCAAACTTAACTTTGCTTTGAATGTGACAAGGCAACATATATTGTTCACGTGAAATTTTATATTCCAACACTGTTTATGATTTTCCTATTCTTTGCATCAGAGAGCATATTGTCTATAATGTTTATGTTTTTTTATTATCTCCGACATAATGATTTATCGTACATTTTAAAGTTTGGTGCCTTTGGGCCCCTGCCATTCAAAATTATTGAATTCCAAGACTTTGAGACAAGAGTTCAAATGAAGATAGAAAAATATCTGTTTACTTGTTTCTTTTGTATATGTTACCAACACAAAAGTTAAAACCCTCCAGAGATGTGTTGTTGAGTGCTACGTGACATTGGTGAAGTCAATTATAAGGAAAGAGACACCCTCAAGCAAAAGCATGCATCAGAGATGTGAGATTAATGTTAAAATTGGAGAGCACCATCTGTCCCTTTGTAATACAACACATTACCATGTATAACACAAGAGGAAAACTGACTAATTGCCCACAAGGAATGCAACATTGTTTATGTATTGTGTAATAGGTCCTTGGTTCAACCTCCAAATGAGAATCGAGGTCCTTGCGTTATGTCTCATCCCCAAGACTAGTTTGCTATGAGATTAGGGGGTGAGTGAGTCAAAATTTTTGAACCAAAATAGGAATGGGAAGATTATGTTAAAAATGGAGTAAAGTTGTCATGTATAGTGTTGAAAAAAGTGTGGGAATCCTAGTGTTGGATAACATATGCGTGGATAAGTGTACTGATAAAAATGTGAGTGCCATGTATATCGAAATAGATAAAGAGTCCCTCGTAATTAATTTGCAGTCGTTGATTGTAAATATAATATAGTAATATGAAATAACAAAATAAAAAATTTATCTATCAAAGGTGTATTAGATAAAAAGTGAAAGTACCAAACCCCATATGAGATTGGCATTGTGCATGCGATGCAAGTAGTGCCCCGCACCGCCCCGACCCTCCCTTGCTGTTTGTATGTATGTACCTGGCGGTTCGAACTCAGCCACACCTCCTCCCACCATGCCCCGCCTCTCTCTCTCTCTCTCTCTCTCTCTCTCTCTCTCCACACATTCATAAAACATATAGGTACATTTTTTAACTTCTCGACTCCCAACATGCATAAGTAAATATTTAATGCAACGGTGATATCATATCAATATTGCATCATGATATCACCAACTAATAATAATACTAAATGGGTAAGGTGAATCTCATTTTGTATACTTTTCATATCTTCTTATTTGTTTATATATTATTGATTGTTAATACCACGTGACAATACTGACGTAAGATCATTGTTGTAATGAATATTTTCTCCAACATGGACACAATCTCCAAAAAAGTTCTAATGGTTTCAAGATATGTAAGAATATAGGCATTTAATTTTGAAATGTGAAAAGGTAAATTTTTGTGCACCAAAATACTTGTATTAAATCTTGTTTAGTTAGCAACTTTGTAATCTAACAATTCACAGTTGGTGGAAGAAAATTAAAAAGAAAAATTGGTCAGACATTGCTGTTTTGAAATGTGAGAGAGACATTACATTAAAGAAGAAAAAGTTAATATTATTTTATGATAATTCAAAAAAAAGTGATGAAAATACAAGGAGACCAACTGTCGGTTTGAAAACAGCCAAAAAAATGTTATCATTACACTACAAAATTGTTGGCATTTTGTGGGCACTTTGCCCACAGTCTATTGTTAAGCTCAGTACTTGGTTAGATATGATATAACCATGGGTCGGGTCTCGGGTGGCATATATTCACATGGAATAGTGTATTTTTATGCAAGAGAGAGGAAAAAATTGCAAAAATTATTTTATCGATGAATGAGAGTGTAGGGCAACAGATTGCAATTAGTTCGAATTTTGTAAATCAGACTAAGTCAAAATTATTAAAATCCTCGATTGATATTCAATTCGAACAATAGTGTAGTCAATCTTTAAAAGTTTGGGTTCAATTTTTGCTTAAAATCGAAACCTGTTGGGATTTAGATATCAAGTTATTGAATTTGAGTTGAACTGGGATTGACTAATTTGTTTAAACCCAAATTTATCAGTTGACATAGGACCTTGAAAACTCAAGATACATCAAATGATTACGAAAGGAAAACCCTCGTTTTCTCACTCAAAAAATCTCCTGAGTCCTGACTAACAACTTTTGTATCTCTTTAATTAGTGAACCTTAATTTGAAGTGATGTCATCATTTTGAAAACTATTTGCCAAATAGATCACTTTGTATACCAATATCAGATAGATCATTTTCCTTGATATAGGCATCAAATAGAACTTAATTGAGTTCTCCTTTCCTGCCACATATTCATGAAACTCGACAAATTTTGCTATTTCATTTATTCTATCTCTCGAAAATGAAGATGAAATTATGTGAGTGCCTTGATTTACATGCAGAGAAGCATAGTGACCATGTATGAACAACAAATGGAAATTCTCAATGAACAAGTTCTGTGAAGTGTTCTTTCATAAGCAGTTTCAGCAGCCAAAACCTGCTTATATAATGCTTACATGTGATACTTCTTTCTCATTGCCAAGGAAGCCTGTTATAGCATAAAAATGACTTAAGCAACGAACCAATAGAGCATTAAGTACATGCTTGAGCTCACTTTGATCTTATTGCTGTTAGAATGAAGCCGACTGTGAGAGACAGAACAAAACTCAATCATATGCTTCAAATTTTGGGAAGTGAATGCATTCTGTGCAGGGAGACACCTAAACCTCACTGTTATTTATGTGTATAGTGCAGCAGAGTGGTCTACAACAGCAGCCAAACCTTGGCATGCATTTATTGTATACACTAATGGAGGATGGAAAACAGTAGGGTTTACGGAAACCAGTTCAAGAATTGCAATTCTCTTCTTAATGTCATCAAGCCAACCACAAGAAATAGACTTGATTCACGGCAATTCGAGGCCTTGTCAAAATCAGCAAATGACATAACTGTGGCCCCTCTGCCTAGCATGAGCAGTGGAACTATGCATGTAAGGATTTACTCCAAAGTACTGAAGCATCAAGTCATCCTGCAGATCAAAATTCCATGAAAGCATGGAAACGCATCAGTTGCTGAATGCATGGCAGTACATATATGCAGCCCCAATAGCTTTGTTTCACGGTTAGTCGATGTGTATTGTGACCAATCTGTATAGAGGACTCACCAAATAAGCATCTCTAACAGATTTGCAGAAGCACTTCTATAGAGCTTTTACTCGTTTGTGTCTCTCCCCTTGTCATGTACATCAAGGATACACACAATAATGAAATTCTGTTTACTATCCTGCTGAAAAGTGAGCTTTTCGAATAACAGTTCATATATCCTAATAGATCGCTTTCTATTTGAAATCTAAAGACTTTCATCTTTTATCTCAACGTATTAGGTAATTTTTCTAATGCCATTTGCTTAAATCAGTGATTTCTCTTTTATGTGCAAATCAATGAGAAAAAAACACCAAACAACAATTAAAAACAACAAGAGACACCGATTTTTGTTTACATGGAAACCCTTGTGTGAAAGGAGAAAACCACGGGGACCAAACTCAGTGGTCCAATTCTTCCGCTATCAATCAAATTGGCCAGGATTACAATACTGTTGAAATCTGCTATTCAAGAGAATCAAATAACTCTTGATTTCCTATGACAGTCTCTCACCCTCTTTCTTTATATACAACCCGAGCAGTCCACTCCTCCATTATATACAAACCGAGCTGAACCATTTGAAACGGATCCCAGAGTAATCCTCCTCAGTGCACTCTTTGATTGGGCAGCGAATAACCAATTAACTGCTCAAAATCTTTTAAGACTTCTCAACAGTTTTTTCCATCTCCTTTAATGCAATTCTGGCAGCTTCCCTTTCCCTCTCCCGCTGCAATTTCAAGTCTTTTTCAACAGCATTGATTTGGGCTTTAATCTGTTGGGTTTTAACTCGATTTAAATTCATTAACAAACACACACAATCGAAGAACAAATCAAGAATATAAAGCAATAAGAAACAAGAAAGAACAAAACACAGATTTTACGTGGTTCGGTAATTTGCCTACGTCCACGAAGCTGCAGGAATTTCACTATTGAGAGAGTTGAATTACAGAGAGCGGCTGTACAATCCACAACAAAACCTAATCACCAAAGCAACATGGTTTATATGTCCTACGTACTGGGCTGTATAACGGGCCCAAAAAATATGTCCTATCGGCCCAATCATTCGTTCCATGGACTAAGCCTCAAAAAATTTTCCATTAAAAACCACACATTACTTCGCGTCGGGTCATCATCCGGATCACATATACAAACTAGACTCCATAAAAAAAACAACATAATCCTGGCCATCTCTTCATGCTGCTTCCTTTATAGTCTTTCTTTTTCCTTCTGTAATCTCACAGGATCATCTTTATAATCATGATAGAGTAATGTCGTTTTATTTTCAGGATAGTATCAGCGAACTGGTTCTTCAACTTCGCAGCACGTAGAGCTTTCAGATACAGCGATCATCAATACTTTTGGGCAAGTTTGAAAGATAAGAATTTAAAGTCCCATGAGAATCTTCTTTGCGAATTAGCGTCTGCCATCTTGGCCTTCGGGACTCCAACATCCATCACAC